GGCGGACGTGCCACGAAAACAATGTCCCGTATAAAGTGATGGTTCTGTCTATAATGCAGATAGTTGGCAAATTTGCTTGGTACACTTCCAGAAGTATGGATCCCAACTGGCTGGATTGTGCATTCACCATTTCTATAAGTTAGGAAAAATCGGTCGTGGGGCGTCTGTTTAGGACATAGAGCTAAATATTTCTACAGATTTTACTTTTTCTTCAGGCCTGTTGGTCTTTGTTTTAGTCACATGAACAACCATAATTGTTTCTTTGTGCTCTACGTCACTTTTAAATTCAAAAGTTCTTCATTATGTAAAGCCCCAGTAATGCCAAACACAACACAAATCTAAAATAGTTACATTTTTCATCAAATAGATTTTATCCAGTGCATTCAGTAAAAATTTAAGTATTTCTTCTTGTGAAAGAGTTCTGGACTTTTTTGGAATATGATTTGATCCTTTTTGTTAAAAAAAACTGTAAACTTTTTACATTTACTAATGTCAACGTCATTTTTTGCTGAAAGGGTTGCTTTCATCATGGAATACGACCACATTGAAGAAGGAGAATACTCTTTCGATAACTCGGAAAAAATATGACGGCAAAAATACGTAAAAATTAAGTGTTTGTTTACTTCCGGAAATCGTTATAGTAATGCAAGGCTCTATATTGACGGTTGACGATAAAATATAATAATATTCGCGTCTTTGGTTTTTGCAGTTTCTATCTTGTTTCACAACAGACGTGATCGGATCTTGCGCTTTCGGCATCGAGTGCAACAGCTTCAAAGGCACCGAAGCCGAATTCCGGCACATGGGCCGGGAGATTTTTGCAGTACGTGGTTTACGTATACTCAACCTCATCCTGATCAGCAAGATGCCTAGATTGGCCCTCAAACTAGGTGAGTTAATACACCTGTGTTCGAATAAATGATTTTAATAAAAAATAAACGGCTTATACAGGAAAATGTTTAACAGTTAAATTTTTTGTGGCTAAATGAAAATAGTGTATCTAACAAAACCAGAAGAAAACCGACACTTGGTCATTTGATAGTATGTATTTTTCATCCGAGAAGTGGAAGTTCCTGTGGCTGATGGCTTAAACAGACCGCCCAAAAGATGGTCTTGATTTATTTCGTGTAACAATACCAGTAAATATTTAAAATTTATGAGTTTTCACGTGTAATACGTAAGAAAAACAAATTTCTGTATATTTTTGCTGCTATTTTTCTAGAAAAAGGAACTGCATTCAAATTATTACATTAGAAACAGTAGATTTGTGACATTTCTTCGAAAATGGAATAAAAAAAAAACAGAAACTAGGTACGCAACTGCGTTCTAAGTAACATTTTATATCATTCAATGAGGGAATAGTTTTCTGCTTGTGCGTTCTTCTTTTAACTTTTCTGCCAAATATAAATTTCGAAGTATTTGTGTTCCATGTTTTACTCTCTTTTTCAGGTTTAAAAGCGAACAACGACCACGTATCAAAATTCTTCTACGAAGTTGTACAGAAATCTATCAAGTATCGCGAGGACAACAACTTCACCAGGCCCGATTTCCTTCAGTTGCTGATCGACATCAAAAACCAGACTAAAGACACAGAGAATCCGTTCACTATGGACCAATTGGTTAGTAAAAATTTTTATACAACTTATTTAACTTAAAATGAGGATTTTCTAACGATTTTATCATATGAAAGTAGCATCTTTTCACTTCGAACATGAAATTTTGTGTCTCTAGAGACGAAACTGAAAATGTATTTAATTAAAAACAATAAACTAATGTCCCTCTGTTGATTGGGAGACTCCAAGTAGGTACTTGTGAAGCGATTTGACATATATTTATACAGAAATTTTCCTCCACAATATTTAAAATTTGTTCCTTAGCTGCGACGATGAAGGTCCGCGATCTCCATCTTTTCTACGATTCAATCGCAAATTTCGTTCAACAGTCACAGCGAAAGTAGCAACATTCGTCATTGGCACATGTTGCATTTTATGTTGATTGGTCATTTATTAGATATTGCTATATAGACATTTGGAACACTTGTAAGGTAGATGTAAACAATGAACCACAGTAATAAGAGCACTATGAAATCTACAGTAATACTGAATAAATGTGCATTTATCAAAATGACTTGGTTGAAACTATTTAGAACACATTTTAATAAACACGCTGCAGTCTAACTATGAATATATAACAACTTCAAAACACGTTTTCTTTTTTTTTTAATTTAACGTTTTTGGTGACAGCGATTCTACTTTTAATGGATATATCGCCAAAGTTTTTTTTTAATAAATTCTAAATCAAACCTCTGTATAAATCACAATACATCAAAATAGTATTTCCTGTTCGATATGAAATACTTTTTCGTGCATTTTCTTCTAAGAAAACGGCAACTCTAAAGCGAAAAACACAAGACATTTAAATTTGGGAATTACTACTACTATACCTACGTCCCTTTGTCAAAAGTGTTATACTATGGTGTTTGTCTTAGGTATCTCAGGTATTCGTATTTTTCGTCGCCGGGTTCGACACCTCCTCGTCCACCATGAACTTCGCTCTGTACGAGCTGTGCAAGCACCAGGACGTGCAGGACAGGGTCAGGGAGGAAATCAACGAGGTGCTGGAGAGGCACGGCGGCCAGTTCACCTACGAGAGCATCGGGGAACTGAAGTACCTGCAGCAGGTCATCGACGGTAAGGATAACATTTCATACTTGAACTCTTCAGTCCAATTTTTTCAAGAATTTCTGCTCAAAAAATATGTATGTAAGAATATTCTCTTTCTAAAAACGAAATGTTTTAACCGTAGCAAAGATTATAGATTCTACATATTATACAGCGCTCGTACGATTATAGTGCAATTTTTTTTTCAATGCAGAGGCCCAAAGGCTGTTCCCGCCACTGGTGGTCCTGACGAGAGTCTGCGTGAAGGACTACAAACTCAGAGACACGGACTTGGTACTGGAAAAGGGCATTCGCGTGGTGATACCCCTCTACAGCATCCACAGGGACCCGGAATATTATCCGGAACCGGAAAAGTTCGATCCGGAGCGGTTCAGCAGCGAGAACAAGAAATCCAGACATCCGTTCGTCCACTTGCCCTTCGGCGAAGGTCCTAGGAATTGTATAGGTCAGTACAGATAGTTGCACAAAAAAAAATCATGTACAGGATGTCAGGTAAGTATCGGTCAAACTCTCGGAAGCTTACAGGGAAGGTCAGAATAGGACTGCTACGCTCATAAAAATATTATACAGGGTAGCCCATCGAAAACGTACCGCAAGGCATTACAGGGTAGTAATGAACTTTTNAAAATTGGTCAAAAATTTGCAAAATGAACCTCCATAAGAAAATACATGGGATTTTGGCTCCGTACGCCTATAGTATATCTACTACTAATGATGTAAGATTAAAGAATGTCTGTAACGAGAAGGTTCTCTCAGCAAATTGTGAAGGCCTATTAAAACTACACAAGCCCTCGTTGATTTGGGCCTGCTATTCTATGGTGCATCCGATTATATCAGGAAGATATATCACATACATTAGTTATGCATACAGGGTGTTTCTAACATAGGGTTCTAAACTTCTGCTGGGTTTATAACTCATTAAAATAAGCCAAAAAGTTCCTATTAACATGAGCCGTACATTATTTTAGAAAATATGCAGCTTTGAAAGTACGAACAATATTTTTGACGAGAAATGCGAAAATCGATTTAATTTTACTTCAAAACTTACGGTATTAGTCAAGTAAATGCTGAAAATGTTGTCCGCCAACTTGCATACAATGATACAGGTTGTCTTCAAACCGTTGTCGAACATTCTGGAGCACTTGCGGTGTTACTTCGCGACATACATTAATGATTTGTCCTCGCAGATCTTCCAAGGTATCAGGTGGAGTGCTGTAAACTTTGCTTTTAATGTGCCCCCAGAGAAAGATATCTAAAGGATTTAAGTCGGGTGACCGAGGGGGCCACTCAATTGCACCTCTTCGTCCTATCCAGCGTCCTGGAAACGTCTCATTTAGGTAATTGCGCACATTGAGCGAGTAATGTGGAGGAGCTCCGTCTTGCTGGAAAATCAGTTCGTGTTCATTGTAAGCAGGGTCGTCCTCTATGATATTTGTTAGAGCTGGGTCGATGACATTTTGTAGTAAATCCAAGTACATATCGCCTATCAAATTTCCAGGAAGGAAAAAAGGACCTACAATGGAATTTCCAAAAATACCTGCCCATACATTCAACTTCTGGGGGTGTTGGGAGTGTGTCTCATGGAAAATCCTTGGATTGGTATCAGCCCAGTAACGACAATTATGGCGATTCACTAAACCATTCAAGAAGAACGTACACTCGTCCGAAAAACACATATTAAAGAGGAAATTATCGTTTATCGCTTGTTCAGTCATTATTTCGCAAAATTGCAAACGACGATCGAAATCGTCTTCATTTAGCTCTTGCACTAGCCGAATCTTATAAGGATGGAATTTGTATTTTTGTAATATTCGTTGGACACTTGTACGACTCACTTCTGTCGCAGTAGCCAATTGCATTGTACTCAGCGTACTATCCATTGCCACTTGCCCCAATACCGCTATTTCCGTAGGTTCATTTAGTACCGGATTTTCAACCTGCCTCTTTTTGTTATGAACGGAGCCAGTTTCGCGAAATTTGGCCACCAATTCGCGAACAATTTTTCCAGACGCATGTTTCTCAGGATGCCGTTGGTTGAACAGTTCTACTCTTTCTGGAATTGAGTACACCATAATTAATCAATTTAAAAGACTCGGCAGTATTGGTACTCTTCAACTACAAGTTTGCTATGCTTTTTGCGCCAAAAGTTGTCCCCCTCAGAAGCAAACTTTACCTGTTTTTGGATTTTGCCGAAAAGTTCATTACTACCCTGTAATGCCTTGCGGTACGTTTTCGATGGACTACCCTGTATATACAAATACATACAAATGTTACAGAAGGCCTTTGTCAACAATACTATGTCACAACCACAGTTGATAAATGGTACAAAAAGACATCGAAGATGAGGTGAGATTTGGTCAAATGTTCAGGTCCATCTAACCATTTTCTTCGACTACAATGGAATAGTTCATCACGAATTTTTACTGCCCAGTCGTCAATCATGAGAAAGCGACAAGAATACGAAAGACAACTCCTGGATTTTGCACCAAAACAACGAACGCACCGGCGCATATACCGCTTTGCTTATCCAACAGTTTTTGGCGAGACACAACACCGTTGTGATCTCTCAACCACCCTATTCTCCGGATATGGCCAATGTAACTTTTTCCTACTTCCCAAACTCAAAAGGGTACTCGAACGACAACGTTTTTCAACGATAGATGAGATAAAAGCAAACTGGCAAACCATGCTCAAGACGATACCTAAAGAAGAGTTTCTCCAGTGTTTCTCAAACTCCAAACTCCATTGGCAAACGTGTATAATGTCACTGAGACATTACTTTGATGGAGATGGGATAAAAATTAAGGTTAAACAAATACTATCTGAGAAAATTAACAATTTCCGTAACTTTTTTTATCAAACGTCGTATTAATACTAAGAGATCTAGGAAAAGTAGACCTTAGCTACATATCATGTAGTCGAAAACTTAAACACCCTGTACGTTTTAATGAAGAAGACAGTAAGGGCACACTTTGTGTAACTAGTTAGACTATAATAACTGCTATTTATAAAATAATTCAAGTATGTTTGAAACTGATATCTTGTAGGGGACACCATGTCAGGGGTCAATCGTAAAGATGAACATATTCAACATTTACAGATCGACCGCTTCGCGGTTCTATACTCCATGGAGCTGCCGATATTTTTGAGTGCATTCGTGATTTTTATTAGTTTCCATAGTTCCTGTCAGCAGTACCTCGAGGTAAATATTTTAAATTATATTTTGGATAATATTTTCCTAACTTTATATTATTTTCTTATTTTGATATATACTTAGTTCATCCTTGATTTTGCTTATTCGATAAATTATTTCAGAAACAGTCAATTTATTTCCAGAAAGCGTTAATTAAATTTTATTTTAGTAACTTTAAATTAAGACAGTAGTATGTCAAGTTAGTCAACTCAATATCAGACATGTTAATTACATTTTAGATTTTGTTTGTATGTAACACTATTTGTATTTCAGAAAATATTAAAGTATTAAAGAAAATGTTTATTTATCGGTGACTCACGATTATCAAATTATTGTATGAAACCGTAATAATACCATAATAAAGCCATTAATATCGTTTTTGAATTGTAATTAACTTTAAGTAGGTATATGGTTGAAGCACGTCATATAAATTGCGTGTAAAAACTGTGGATTTATTATTTTCATAAAAAAAAGTTTTATTTCTTAAAAACTTTTGAAGATTTCTGAAATATATACTTGCCTACATTTAATACTTCTAAAATATGTAACATATTGCGAAAAACATATAAACTAGTTAAATGAAATATAATTTGAATTTTCTAAATTAAAACTGAATATCCTCGGTAAAAATCGAAATTTTCTGAAACGCAAGTAACTGGTCTCGTGAAGTAAATTACAATATTTGATATAAAATTAAATATACGAAAATATGAAAAACAACCATGTTACTAATAACGATGTAATTCATAAACAAAAAAACATCAAAATAAGAACAAATTCATTCATTTATTTTGCAAGTGCATATTTTATTAAACAATATTTTGATATTCTATAAAATTAGGTTTAATATTATCGCAATTGTCAACGGTTTTCTAAGGAAGTTCATCAATTCCGTTATTTTAAATTTAGAACAGATATAAATGCCAATTATAACAATCTTACTTCTGCACGAATTCTAATGCTTCATATGCATATGTAAACAAAATTGACTGATAACGGTTTGTTTTAATAATATTCTCCAAAATCCTCCAGACGATAACCTACTTTTTGTTATAAGTAACATTTTTCTACATGTATTCAGTCTCCTTCAAAATTATATAAACAAGGTGCAGGTATCCTAAGTAGACTGAAATAATTCGAAGGGTGATTCTTCGTGTTATTTTATGAAAAAAGTTAACATATACCCAAAAATAACCCCTTTCCAAAATACGGTTTAAGTTTTTTTTAATTATCTCTATAATGGGATGTTTGAAGGCATATTTTAGAGTAAACTAACGTTTTATAACCTGATCAGGGGCGTGCCTGTAGGCAGTAATAACCAATCATTAAAAAAAATAGTATATCAACACACTACTGACATTTTTAATTTTGTCAGTATTTTTTGTAATCCTCGTTGATTATCTGACAGAAGACGTCGTAAGTTTCTTTTTGATTTAAAATTTAGTTCTGGAGAAATTCTATTTTATTAAAAGTAATGCAATAATGTATTATCAAACAATTAATGAAAAAGCATTTTTCCCCAGAAAATGTGTTAAGAGATATCTTAAGTCAGGTAATGAACGAAGATTCTAAAAAACCTACGAAATATTCAGTGGCGTGTATATTATTTTTTATAATTGCCTATACGCATCCGATTTTTTTTTTGAATGTTATGTATATAAACTTTTTTCATAAACTGGTTTGAAGAAGCATGGTCTAAAATATTTTAAATTACTTAGAAAATACGTATATCTCTTATTTTCAGTACTTACCATATAAAATATTCCAAAAAAGGTTTATGTCATTTGTCTTAATGAAAAATAAAATATGAGAGAATTCAAGATTTATAAATACGTAGTTTTGAGTCACGGTACTGAAAAATTCTCTTCAAAAACGGTTTTTATTTAAATAAAAAATGTATCTATTTCATTATTTAACTTCTTATCAATGTACTTATAATTTTGATTGGTTTCATATATCACATCATACAGGGTGTCCGGAAAGGTCATCTCAAAAATGAAAGGGTATAAATGGGAGCTTAAAATAGTTGTAGTACTTATACTGTATATCATAATATCATATATCATATCAGTTAGCAAAATCAAAAGTAAATTTTAAAAAGAAAACTATTGAACAAACTATTCAATTTGTTTCCAAATTAATAACCACATTTCCAATTTGTTTAATAGTTTGTAAGTATATGTATTTTAAAACAAATACAAACTATTATTAGATTTATATATTTAATATCTCCATAAGATCCTATTACATTGTGAATCAATAGTACGTGTCGATGTTTTAATAATAAACACTAAAGATAAAACAAATAACGGATTCATAAAAGTGCTCTGGATATACGAATCCAAATAATATAACAATTTAATTATTGTAAATTGTAAGATTTGTGACCGTTTCTATTTAATTAAACAAAATAAAAAAACTGTCACAATTCACTTTGTCATTTCGAGTATGAGAACAGAATATTTCAAATAGTTAACTGTGGTCTAAATCTTCAATGTGTGATATTTCAAGTTAAGCAATACTAAATTTACTAAAAATCGACCCTTGGTTGATATTCTTGGAGCGATTTAAAAAAAAAATGTGGCAGAAATGTCCAATTAATTAAAAGCAGTGAAATGTAAAAATTTCATGGTTTTAAAATACGTATTGAAAGTATATTATACTTAATTCTTAAAAGAACATTAAGTCGGTCACAGAAAATCATTCTTATTTACTAGCGTTGTTTGTGGACAGCGATTTAAAAAAAAATTGTGGCAGAAATGTCCAATTAAATAAAAACAGTAAAATGTAAAAATTTTATGGTTTTAAAATACATATTGAAACTTATACTTAATTCTTAAAAGAACATTAAGTCGGTCACAGAAAATCATTCTTATTTACTAGCGTTGTTTGTGGACAGTTACATCTCTGACAATTAATAGAGATTAATAGGCTCCTCTATTTTAGATGTAAAAATATCTTATCAACCGCCACAATGTTTTTTGTTTGGACTAAACGGTTCACTGAAACAGTCATGTCCCATATTTCACCACTTCCATAATCTGTATTTACACATAACTTTGTAAGAATATTTATTTCCTTTGTTTTGTAGGAACTAGATTCTTAATTTGAAAAGGTCATGCAAGTAATTTTCATTTTTCCAAAGGATATTCTAGAACTGGCAAATGTTAGCTATCATAAATGCATTTTCTTTAGTGAAACAGACAATTTACAAGTCTTTCTTGTTCAGTATTGCCTCACTATTTTCAATATTCCATTAATGATATTTCAGGTCTCGAAAAAAATTAACTCCTAGACCACTTTGGACAAAAATCAACGTGATGACCATTGTCCAATGTGGTGAGGATAAAAATAGGAGTAAATTACATATAAGGTTTTAATGTAATACCTTCAAAGCAATTTATTTCTTGTATGTAGAATCACCTCATTAGAAACAATGAAGCTGAAGCTGAAGCGGTGGAACCAGACAAGTCACGAACACTGTACGATTATCAAACAGTAAGTTAAACGTTGACTGATTTGTATGTTATTGGAGTAAATATTTTTTTAAGCGAGTTGTAGCATACAAGGACCTTATCAATTCCAATTGTATTATGGAGGTCCTCAACGGAGGCACAAGCCATATCAGCAAATGGAGGTCTAACAGCTACTCCAAGGATAGTATTCCTAAGAGTTTGTCAGTGTCCAGTCAGTTGTTATCGAAACGTCAGGTAAGTTTTTCATCTTGTACCCAATGTACAATATTTACTAGGTGTAAAAAAATTGGCAGCCTGGGTTGAGTATCTAAAATCTGCATTTAATACTAGGTAACAAAAACTGAAAAATAATTTCGTTTCTGAGAAAACAGTATTTTATAATATTGTTGTTTAATATTGCTTTGACAGATGCTTATGTTAGGTACTTTAGTATTCCAGGCGGTAGAGCTGTAAAAGTAGGTTTTGGCGTTTGGGTTTGAAATCATCAATTTTGTTGTACAGAAAATTCCCAAATATTATGTAGAATAAGAATCCGAGTTTGTCTATTACAAAAAGCCATTGCTAAATTCAGGGGAACAAAAATAACGAAAAATGATCCGTTTTTCAACATATTTTTTCTTGTAACATGGAAAGTAAGCCCTAAATCAAAAAAAGTCATTCTTTATTTTTTGTTTATTTAACGATTTTCTATAAACTACAACTACGATTCAAAAAAATTGAATTTTGTATTAACAATGGGCGAAAAATAGTAGAAAATCATATGTATATTTGGAGCAATTTTTAAAATAAGTAAATATTTATAAATATTGATGAAATTTGTGACCAAATAATAAAACGTAATATGTCAATTCTACCCTAAAAATTTTGCAACGATCGATCGTGTGATTTTCGATTGACAGGATTGTTAACTAAGAAAATTTAAAAAAGTTTATCGCTTACCATGGGTTTAAATTAAGGTTTAGAAAGGGCACACAAATTTTTAGAGATATTTGTTGTCAAAATAAACAATGATCAATATTAAAAATACTTATTCTCATACTCATTTATTTTGGCTTTGACATCACCGCTCCCTCCTACATTCGTAGTTATCTGACCGGGAGATCACAAGTCCTCGTGAACTCAATTATGTCCAACACTTTGCCATGGAGTACCTCAGGGGTCCATATTGGGGCCTCTGTTGTTTTCCTTATACAGGGTGTTCCAGATAGACCTTCAATTAGACGTTTCTGGAAAACTACGCGTACTGGAATTCTGAAAATTTATATACGGTGGTTTCTCCTAATGTTCTATTGATTGAAAATATTGGCGTCGCCGTTGAACTTCCGGTTCTACCGGAAGTAGACATCAACTCGCTTATTTCAAATGGAATATACTATTTTTTATTTAATTTTTGGATTCTACATCGGATTTTAAGGTAAGTTTCATAACCTCACTTTATCCTTAAACTCAATAGTTTTTGAAATATTTTGACTTTTTCAAAATTTTTGAAAAAAACATACCTACACTTAATCGGTTCTATCGCCTCCAATTTTTAAGATAGGAAGCTGAAATTTTAGATGGTCAATACCAAAACGTGTCCAAATATCTGGAATATTCGAAAGTTGGTGCATGTTACACCTCAGGACGTCTAAAAAATACGGACCAATTGTGTCAAATTGAAAGTTTAATAACTCGCTTATTTTAAATGAACACCTTGTGTTTTATATTGCTAGTAGATGCACCTGTTAATTCTCTTTCCATTGGTATAAGCATTCCCTATACCTAAATCCCACCGATTTATTTTGAGATATTTGAACATAAGTACAGAGACGAATATAATCCGACAGTTAGCTGTAGGTTGGCTGTGGAAAAACATTTAAATGTCACCAAGTAAGGTTATGAAACTTACCTTAAAATTCGATGTAGAATCCAAAAATTAAATAAAAAATAGTACATTCCATTTGAAATAAGCGAGTTGACGTCTACTTCCGGTAGAACCGGAAGTTCCACGGCGACGCCAATATTTTCAATCGATAGAACATTAGGAGAAACCCCCGTACATAAATTTTCAAAATTCCAGTACGCGTAGTTTTCCAGAAACGTCTAATTGAAGGTCTATCTGGAACACCCTGTATATTGCCGACTTTTATAAATATTTAAACACGTACAAAGTGCATCATTACGCAGATGATTCACAAGTTTATTACAGTTTTCCTGTAGGGGATGCAAACTCTTCAAATAATGCCATCAATAATGATTTAACATTACTACTTAATATTTCAGCCGCTCACAGGTTGTAATTGAATCCAAATAAGTCCAAGGTCTTAGTATTTAGTCCCAAAAAGAAAAGATGCACCGTAAAATCCCAGATCAATGTTAAATTGGGAAATACTTACTAAATAATTAAATTGTGTTAGACGTTGCTGACAGGTGTAAAAATCTGGGGCTCTTGTTTGATGATGAGAGATGATGAGATTCACTAAACATGTAAATACTCTTTGTCGATCATCTTATAATACGTTAAAACAACTTTATCCTCATAGGAGTATAATGAGCTCAAAGTTAAAAATTAACATATGCGTTTCTCTAATTTGTTCAAGATGTATTGTGATTGTGTTTATGGGCCAGCCCTACTAAGTACTGATATAAAACGATTACAGAGAATTCAGAACAGTTGCTTTAGGATTGCGTACAGTGTCAGAAAATTCGAACGAGGTGTGAGCGACTTAATTCGAAATAACGGTTATCTTAACCTTGTAAACAGTCGGAGATTGCATCTATCTTACTCACAAGATATTGGTCAGTAGTACTCCTGAATATCTGCACAAGAAATTGCAAAGGCTCCACAAAGAATCTGCATCATTTAAATCTCGTTACTAGCGTCTCTTAGAAATTCCTCACCATGCCACTGCTTTATACACTAGAAGCTTTATCTATCAGGCTTGCAAGGATTATAATGCTTTACCTGTAGAATTTAAAAACTATTCAATTCTGAATTTCAAGAAAAAATTAAAGCATTATCTCTCGCATGGTACTCGTACCAATTATTGACCAGGTTTTCGTCGCTCTTTTTATTATTATATCGCAAAATTTAATTTTTTTCTTTTTTCTTTTTTAGCATTTTCTTTATTTTGTTTTCGCATTTAGCTATTATTTACAGGGTGTTAGTAAATAAGTGCGACAAATTTCAGGGGGTGATTCTACATGAGAAAATAATGGCAGTTTGCTTATAAACGTATGTCCGCAAATGATTCGTTTTCGGAGATACGGGGTGTCAAAGTTTTTCTTAAAAACTGACGATTTAATTTATTGCTCTGAAACCGGTCGAGATATGCAAATGAAATTTGGTGGGTTTTAAGAGGTAGTTATTGCGCATTTTTTGGCACGCAATTAAGAATTTTATGTTCATCATTGGCGCGCGTACGGGTAATAATCTCAATTTTTTTAAAGAAAAAAATGGTACGCCACAGAGATATTACAAATTAAAAATTTTACAGGGAAAATATGTCGAAAAACAGGTTATTCCCCTTAATTTAGCAATGGTTTTTTGGAATAGGCAAACTCGGATTCTTATTCTACATAATATTTGGGATTTTTCTGTACAACAAAATAGATGACTTCAAATACAAACGCCTCGAATCACCTGGACTATAGGCTGCTAAAGGCATTTCAAACAATATTTCTCTCTTCTCACTTCATTTTAACCTTTGTATTTACACGATACTTTTGATGTATAAGTTAAATAAAATTAGCTCTTAGGTTAAAAAATTATCTATTAACAAAATAGAATCTCAAAATTTGATGGAAATCTTTGAATAACCATTTCTATGTGGAATTTATTTAACATACATCTGCCACCAGAGGATTTGTAAAAAAAATTGATAAGAATTGTTGTCACGGCCGTTCTTGGGGGTGAAAATTCGAAATATTTAGAATTATTCAAATTTCGTGGCTGAAAACGTACATAGGTATTATATTTTTGAAACCGAGTGAGTTGTGCGAAACTAAATGAGTACAGGACATGGCTAGTACCATGCGAAACATCGCCATAATTTTAAAAATGTTGTCACCACCGTTCTTGGGGGTGAAAATTCGAAATATTTAGAATTATTCAAATTTCGTGGCTGAAAACGTACATATGTATTGTATTTTTGAAACCGAGTGAGTTGCGCGAAACTAAATCTGTACAGGACATAGCTAGTACCATGCGAAACATCGCCATAATTTTAAAAATGTTGTCACCGCCGTTCTTGGGGGTGAAAATTCGAAATATTTAGAATTATTCAAATTTCGTGGCTGAAAACGTACATAGGTATTGTATTTTTGAAACCGAGTGAGTTGCGCGAAACTAAATGTGTACAGGACATAGCTAGTACCATGCGAAACATCGCCATAATTTTAAAAATTTAGAATTAGGTATTCAAATTTCGTGGATGAAAACGTACATAGGTATTGTATTTTTGAATTAGCTTAACAGCTTTAAAATTGCGTAAAAATTGAAAAAAAAAAATTACATTTGACGAAAAGTAAAACAGATTTACTAGCATGTGTCTAAGATTTTTTAGATTTTTTTTTTTTTATTTGAATTAACTTAATACTTTTACAATATAGTAAAAGTGAGAGAGCTAATAATAGAATATATGTTTTTAAGAAAATAAAATACAGTATTTTGTGTATGTCCTAATTAAAAAAAAATGTTTTTCTTCAAGCGTATAATAATACTTATATTATATAGTGCAACACCTCCTTTAGAAGCAGGCTATTGTTTAACTAGTACAAATATTTTTCATTTTTTAACTAGTAAAAAAATGTAACAATGTGTAGGTAAGTATCCTAGCAACGAATTAAAGATTCAAGAAGCTTTGACGTTTCATTAAGTGTCAGTTGAAATTTGATGTCGCGTCGGGTCGTTTTTAAAATGTCTGAAGAAATGCAGTGCACACCACCAGAATTACTGGAAATTGCAAATACATCAGTGGCAACACTTATACCAACAAAGTCGAGAAAAATTTATGAAAATGCTTATGATAAATTCATAAATTGGGCAAAAGAAAATAATGCACATATTTATTCAGAAAATGTGATGATAGCATATTTTACAAGATTATCCAGAACACTGAAAAGTTCAACTTTATGGGCGCAATATTCAATGGTAAAATCTAAATTAAACATAATGTAAATATTGAGAAATATTCAAAATTAATTACATTTTTGAAACGACAAGGTGAAAATTATAAACCAAAAAAGTCGAAAGTTTTGTCTAAAAAAGAATTTGACGAATTCCTGAATAAAGCACCTGATGATAAATATTTAGCAACCAAGGTATGTACTTTTTAAATTATAGGTAGATATATATTTAACCTTTTTATATTTGTAATACAAAATTTTGTTATAATTTGTAAACTTCAAGTTANTGTTTAATTAATCAATAAAATGTATAAAATGTATAAAATAAATAGTATTACCTACCTACTGATTTTATTTTGTGCTGAGATTGAACATCGCGTTATCCGCTATAAATTTTCAAAATTAGTAATTTTTTATATTCACGCTTGAAGAAAAAATAGTATGTCACTCGGAGTGGAAGGCTCATTATGTGTTTTGCCCAATTTGCTCAGCCTCGGCTAACGCCTCGGCGAGCAAACTTTTGGGCTCAACACATAATGATCGCCTTCTAGTCCTAGTAACATAATATACTATATTTTTCAGATATGGCGTCTTGGAGGTCAAAGAATAACAGAATTTTGCAGAGGCTTCCCTACATATCTAATGAAAGATGATTCAAGCGAAGGTCAAAATGAAGACGACACTTACTGGAATGACTTGGCCATAGAGAGAATGCGTAAAAAACGGTCCACAAGATATTATCTTAAGGGACGAGTCAGAGGTCAAACTCAGTCCCAATATTTAAATTTTGGAAGATCGGATCAGCCCGGTGTGGCGGAAGCTGAATCTAATTTTGAAGGTTCTAAAGCAGCTGTTAGTAAGTAATTCTACCTTAAATATTTGATTACAGTTTAGTGTACGAAGTCTGTTCAGAAAATAACTGAACTTTTTAAATTATGGACTAATGGAGATATTTAGAGATATGCGGTTGGCAGCATTGCGTTGCGTATAATCTCCTCTGCAACCACATGTTCTTGGATTGTTGATATCTCATTTAGTTTTCGTGATATTGTTATGTGTGTGCAACGTACTTAACTGTTAGTGACGATTTTTGAAATGTACGATTTTCTTGAACAACGTACAATTTTGCTTGAAACTGGGGGAAACTTTCACGGAAACGTTTCAGCTTTTGGAACAAGCTTCCAGAGATAATGCTCTATGTCGTATTACGAATAGTTTTCAAAATTTAAAAGTGGTCGTCAATTAACTGAAGATGATTCTCGACGAGAAAGACCTTCGACTTCAGCTAATGACTCCCATGTTCAAAAGTCAAAGTTCTGGAGTGTGCAAATTGCCAATTGACTATAAGACAAATTGCAGAAAAGTAAAAGTAATAATACAGTTTAAAAAATAAAGTTTGGTTATCTTCTCAACAGACCTGATAATGCTTCCGTTTTATAGTCTGTTTGAAAATGAAAGAGAGTAATAAAACCCCGTGATAAGAACCGGCCATGGGCGTGGTAATATTTCGTTCCAGGTAATTATCGGGTAACACTAATGCTAACAGGTAATGGGTGTACATTAGTATATTTTACTGGATACATCATAGGGCAGGAGCCAGTGTATTGTGACAGATCAATCCAGTCTTAGAGCTGAATATACGAAGACGTGCTAGTGCAGTAGAGTAAAATTCGACTTGTGTTTAGTGACTATTGTGCCAGTGGATATAATATTGTTTGGGTAAAATGTCGAGCTTATCAGATTACGTACCTGCTAAACGCGTGAAAAGATGTGCGCTGTCTCAGAATGAGAAGATTATTATATTAAATGTATTTAATGCATTGAAACACCAAAATCCTACCAACAGTGTTGACGACATCGTGGAAAAGTGTTCCAAAATGACAGGGATTGGAAAATCGACTATCTACAGACTTTTAAAGGAAACAAAAAATGAACAAGATACTGTAAATCCCCCAAAATCATCTACAGGGAGGTCAAAAGTCGTTATAGATGATTTCTTCAAAAATGTCATTCGCAGAAAAGTACACTCATTTTATTTTAAAAAAGAAATACCAACGCTAAACAAAATTTTAAGTGAACTTTCAGAGGACAACGATTTGCCAAAAATCAGTAGAAGCAAATTATGGGCCGTCTTACGAGAGTTGAATTTTTGCTGGGAAAAGCAGAACAGGAAGTCAGTTCTTATCGATAAAGATGAAATTATTTGTTGGCGAAGATCCTACTTAAGATCAATTAGAAAATTCCGTGACGAAGGGAGGAATATTTATTATCTAGACGAAACTTGGGTCAACGAGGGATATACTGTAACAAAAGTATGGCAAGATAAAAATGTAAAAAGTTTTCGACAAGCATTTTTGGATGGACTTTCAACAGGGTTCAAGGCACCTTCAGGTAAAGGGCGAAGATTAATAGTGACACATATAGGTAGTGCCAGTGGTTTTGTAGATGGCGGTTTACTTTTATTTGAATCTAAAAATACAGGTGACTATCACGAAGACATGAACGCAGATGTTTTCGAAGAGTATTTTACACAGATGTTGGATCTTATTCCTCCGGGGTCTGTAATTGTCATGGATAATGCCAGTTACCATTCACGGCAGACCGAGCGGACGCCTACGACTGCTTGGAGGAAAGCCGATATAATTCAATGGTTATCCGGAAAAAACATTTCTTTTGAAACAAATATGGTGAAAAAGGAACTTTTGACACTTGTCAATCTTAATAAAGATCAGAAAAAATATGTTATCGATGAAATGGCAACAAATCGCCAAATAACGGTACTACGGTTACCACCTTATCACTGTGAACTTAACCCAATCGAATTAGTCTGGGCGCAGGTAAAAGGAGATGTAGCGCGAAATAATACGACGTTTAAATTAAGTGACGTGAAAATTTTGTTAAAAAATTCCTTGGAACGAGTAACTGCAGATAACTGGCAAAGATGTATACATCATGTACAAAAAGAAGAGGAGAAAATGTGGGAACTCGATAATTTAATTGACGTTACTGTGGAACCTATCGTTATCAATCTAGGAGACGAAGATAATTCATCAGAATATTCAGAGGATGAATTTTAATATACCTACTTTTTTATTTTCTTTATTGTACATTTATACAACACTACATTTACTCACCATAATTTGAATTTTCAAAATACATATATTTTTGTGTGGAATAAAAGTCTATTCATTAAATTTAAATAAATATTTTGATAATAATATTGAATAATTTTATTTGAATTACTAAAAACCCTCTTAACCCGGTTATGATGCTTAAAGTAGCCTCATGTTTTGAAATGCTGTTTTTATATTGTTTACTTATAAGAGAAATGGACCGAGAAATTGAAGCGGCATAGACAAAGACGGATTGTCGGGGATTAAATTTTAGCTACCTGCTACAATTTAGTACAGTCCGATCGCACAAAGTTTTTTTAAAAGTACACCTCATCTATACGGAAAATACATAATATAAAAATATTGAATATAAGCACCAGTACTACATTTATTTACGATTTGCATACATAATAAGCTTTTATTACTCTCTTTCATTTCTAAACAGACTATAATTCCATACACGGTAATAGGCCAGGAAAAAGAGATGGGAAATGACCATTTCGCGACTTTTCGTTTCGGCAAGCTGAATTTATCACTATAGATGCTAAATATTATGTACAATAACGTAATAGTTTCCACAGTCATGAAAAAGGGGGGAAGGATTGTTTACAGGGTGGTTAATTGTATAATTTTTACGTAAATTCACGTTTTTCGCTTATAACTTTTTTCCGTTCATTTCCACGAGAAAACAGTAAAGTACCTACTTTTTNAGTTTCCACAGTCATGAAAAAGGGGGGAAGGATTGTTTACAGGGTGGTTAATTGTATAATTTTTACGTAAATTCACGTTTTTCGCTTATAACTTTTTTCCGTTCATTTCCACGAGAAAACAGTAAAGTACCTACTTTTTTTTCCGTTTTCAAAAGACATACAAAACTAGCTCTTGAGCGTCAAAAAATATTGATTAGATCAAAAGTTATAAACAGAGGAAGTTAAACATTTATAAACTGCATTATTATTACCAGAAAGTTTTGGCATCGCATCCTCTCATTTTTCTTTTAGTAATAAGTCACACGAAATCTGGAATCGGTAAGTTGAGTAGTTTACAAGTAATGGCCTTATAAACAAATTAACTAATAGGCCTCATGCAGAAAAAAAATATTTTAATAGTTTTTGTATCTACACTGAATACTACAAACAATAATGTGTAAAGGTTTTATTATTTTAAAAAAGTTATTGGATTTAAAGATTTAATCGGTTCGCTTCGCGCGCAAACGTCATGGACTGGGATGTCGATACGTCGACGTCATCGGTAAGTAAATGACAAGCCCGACATATACAATAAACGCGTTTCGACAGTGCAGCTGACTGCTCTGGTTATTAAATGTATGATTAAATGTGTGGAGTAGTGTCAATAAGCATTACGATACCTTATCCTTATATATACTTTAAATTTTTGAAGTTAAACTTATAATAACTATGGCAAATCCCTCTAAACCATACTATTACTGGTGCATTGTGCCGATGTGTGAAAATACATAGGTAAAAATGCCAGAAAAAAATATATTTTAAAATTATGTACTTATTTAAGTAGGACAGTACTTACTTTGAAATAATGTCCTAATGTAATTTAAAACTTTTCTATGGTCATGCGAATGTACTTCTTTTTAAAAAAAGGAGAAAGCTTTTTATTTTTTTACTGTTTTTAAACAAATATCTTGATATATTGTTCTCAGTTAATTTCTTTTGGCACTTTTACTTGAATATTGACCCACTATGCGTTGAGATAATATGAAATAGTGCGTTCAGATAATATGATATAACATTCGACCGTACCCAATACTTTTATTTCTATCTAATTGCAAACGATTGACAAAGCTGCCGACTACTAATATCGATAGTCAGCATCTCTGTCTATTCATATAGGTGATGTTTACTGTTTAAGGTAGTTCCTTCGAATAAAATATATGCTTAAGACACGTACGCAAATTTTTAGTTAAATAGTTAAACCAGTTCTGAATAACATTTAAATTTTAAATCGATTGACCATTTCGCATTTTAGAAATTAATTTTCAATGTTGAAAGAATTAACACGTGGGAGACAGGGATTCGTTACATTTCTCATACAACACTTTTACCGTTTATGTACAAATTTTTGTATGCGTAGAATATTTGTTTTTTATCTTTTGGGTACAAAAAAATTATGATTTGTTAGCGTAGTATATATAAATTATGTTTAGTTTTTTAGATACATTTTTCGTTTATAACATATTTTTGTTATGCTAAATTTTGTACTTTTTTCCTGAAAAAAGATATGGTCACCGTACCTAGAAATCACATTTTCATACCAGTTTGCTTTTAATTCCCTTATTTCTGCCGAAGAAAATAAAATGCTTTTCCAAAAAAAAATTCCGCAATCATCGCCGCGCGCCATTATTCCATGGCTAGAAATTGGCCTCAATGATTTGGGATCGAGGGGGATTATCCCTCTTTATCCTGCCTCATCTCGTGTAGGCCTGGACAGCCTTCGTAGGTGGGCCCCATCCGTCGTCTACCCCGACCGCAAATGCGGCCGGTGTAGGCGCTTTGTGGGACCTCCTTTTGTCCTGGCTAGGCCCTGCCGACTAGGGCCCTTTCTTCTGGCGCTCTTCTTGCTTCGCCGGCTCGTCTGTGTAAACCCCGGGGGTGGTGTCATATTTATGTGTGGTATGATTGGGTAGGGTAGTGCGGCTATGCAGCCTGGGATGCGCTTTGCTAAGGTGGCCCTTAGCCCAGCGCGGGAGGGGAGGGGAAGGAGGGTATGGGGGTGTGTATGTGTGTGTGTCGTTGTCTTCGTTTCTTGATCCTGGCTGTCTCTGAAACAGAAAAGGTTAGCGGGCAGGGGGGGGTGTCGTTGGGGTGGTCACCAAGGGTCAAAAAATTGGTGTCTAGGTCTTTTGTGTTTGTCGGTCACGTCGGGTACGTAGTCAACGGCTTGCCTGAGGAGGGGATTGTCATGTATAGCGGCTACGTCAAACCGTTTCTCCGCGTTTTGTCTTATTGTCTGTGCAGCGTTTGTGTATTGAACGCTCGTAATATGTCAGTGTTTCTTACGTACCAGGGCGCGTCGGTGGCCGTGCGGAGGGCTATGTTCTCCACAGCCTGTAATGACTTTAAGTGGATTTTTGCCGCGTGACCCCACGCCGTGGAGCCGCAATCATCATGGAATCCACTCTCGGTAAATTGTCTGATTGGGCATTACCATAACCTTGTTCGGTCATGTTACAAATATTCTTAAGAATTTTAAAAAAACTAAAAACTAATAATTATGATTATTTAAAATAACAAATTTAGATTCAAAATATTATTTAGGTAGAAAATAATATTATGCTACGCGCGGAAAGCTCACTTGAACTAAACGTCGTAGTAAAAATAAATATTATATCTACAGACTTAATTATTTTGCTACATAGGTGCATATTTAGGTATACTTACATAGGTAATACAAGGGAAACCAGTTAGTAAATATAACCACACATCAGTATCGTTATCGTATCGTAAGCAAACTAAAAATAATAACTGTTTTTAAGAAGTAATAGGACCGACATCGTTTTCTAATGTGGAGCGGTTAGTTTACTTACCGATGACGTCGCACCAATAGCAACTCGTTCTACGACACGCCCCTACAGGATGCTCATCTCCAAATTTTAATGAACGATTTAGTCAATTTTCGAGTAGAATTTTTAACAAAAGATTTTATAATTAATAATATTAGGCCATATTTAAATATGTGAACTAATATAAAAAATCTGGCATATGCAAGAGGCCTCTGGACGATCCCGAGGATCTTCCACAATCGTACCGATTTTTTTCGTGGTAGATTTCATAATAATACATTGAAATCTATCATTTTTTTTTTAATTTCAAATTTGCAACCTGTTTTTTTTTTATTTTTTAGCCTTACGCAGGCCGACAAAAAAAATCGTGTTTTTTGAGACGTGGCCTATCTTTAGTAAAATTTTCCACTGAATCCGAAAATGATAAAAAAATTCTGACGTGTGGATTCCACCCCATACACCCGCAATTTCCCCCAAAAATTAAAAAATCCAAACTATCCATCCAACCCAGATATCTTTAGTAAAATTTTCCGTTGAATCCGAATATGATAAAAAGAAAAATCTCTGACTTATGGAATTTCCTCCACACACACTCAATTCCCCCAAAAATTAGAAAAATCCAAACTGGCCATCCAACCTACCTATTTTTAGGAAAAATCGCTAAATCTGAAAATGGCAAAAATATTTTTTGGACGTATTTAAAAATAAAAATAAATACAAATCGGACGTGGCAACCGCTATAACTTATAAAATCTGTCGGTAAAACCAAAACTAAAAAATATTGTAGAACTAAAAGTTCCCTTTGCTTGTACAGTTAATCTCGCCCCCAAATAGGATCCGAAAATTTAAAAAGAGATAAATATTTATAATTTTATTTATTTATTAATTTATTTATTTATTTATTTTTATTAATTTTTTATTTATAATTTATATTATTAGAGGTAAATATTTTATCATAATATTAAATACAAGATGATAAATATCCAGAGATAGTAAAGCATCAGTAGATCTCATATCAGTATAATATACCTTTATATTATTTATCTATTATTTCGTATAGAGCAATCCTTACAAATATTACTTAAATATACGAATATTAACAGGACTGTAATAATATTGTCAAATTAAAAAGGCACTCAAAATTTCCTATGATGCTATAAGTATTCAAATATCCCCATGATTTAAATAGAGAAATTAAATGAAACATTGGAATATCTAAATATAAATTTGAAAATAATTATAAAATAAATTTACACAATGGAAGGGTTTCCATTGTGTATTTTTAGTAACAATTTATATTGTTGGATAGGTAATAAGAAAAATAAAATAACTTCATAAAAATATAGCATTTCAATAAAAATAACAGTTTAGCATATCTCCTAAAATATGATAAGAAAATAAATAGGTAAAACGCTGTATTATACACTTAAACATTTTTTTATATCTCTTACAACTCAAATACATGTGTAGGTCAATCAGTGACTCTATACAAGACAGTGGCGACAATAGAGTGTATCATTTTTAATTGGTCCACGTGATTTTAGCTGCCATGTTGCATCCAGTGTCAAATTCATCTGCGAAATGTCATGGTGTCAGGAGCGTTATTATGGTGTTATTCAATATTTGTATTGTTTTATTTTAATTTTGGTGATTACTAGTGAAACTATTGGGTATTCTGTGATAAGGGATAGTTATAATGTCTGCAGAAGCTTCATGAGGACGATGACCGTGAATTTCTTTCAGGTTTTTTGGACACCATTACAAAAAATATAAGACCTACTTATAAGGAAGTTAAGTTTCCTGCTAACATAGAAGAACTAAAATTTAATCTTAGTTTTAGTGAATTAAATTATCTTTATATGTGCGGATATATGCCCAAAGTATCGTTAAAACGTCAAAAACTTGTACAAACTGTGTGCATGCTGTTGGTTCTAAAACGCCGATCTATAAAACATTTAACGTACTTAAGAGATTTAGAGAACATTCAGTCTTTTTTGCAAGCGGTATTTTGTCTCTTCTTGCAGATGGAAAGTACTTTTACAATATTTTTTGCGATTGAATCTTGACAAAACATAAATTTAAAAGAGTTTTTCTTAAAAGAAATGTCTGGTTTAAATTTAGATCTACCAAATTGTCATCAGATCAAAAATAAAATTGTTAAAAGATTTATTATGTTCCGATTAAAAATAGCTTCCAAAAAATGTCACAAAGTATGCAAAAAGCGTGCAAGTAAAAGTGTTGCTGGACGTTTATTGTAACAAATACTATCACTAGCATTAAGTATTCGTTTTTCCAATAAACCCAATAAATTTCATTGTATAATGTAGGTATGCTTAAATTTACTTGCCTAGAAATTATAAACCAATAGTTGTTATTATTATATATTTATCCTTGCCTATTGCGCAAGTAGATTTTATATTCATTCATTATTTAAAATCACTTTCCAAGGGAGTTATTTGCCTAAACCTGTGCGTAAAATTTAAAAGAAAAATACTTTTGTACTTAATTTATTTTTTATAAAAGTTACTTTCAATTTGACATTGGATGCAACATGGCGGATGGGCGGGGTTTAGTCGATATTGTCGCCACTGTCTTGCATATAGCCACTGTAGGTCAATCTACCAAATTCGAGAAATTCTTTGTAGAGGGTGTCCCAGAATATAGAGTACAACGGATGACCACAGATTCGTGGACTCAAAATAGGCAGATTTAGGCTAATTCACCTATATCCAAAATCGCTTCGTTTGGCCCCTAGATGGCCTCACTGTTCGTGAAAATTTTTTGAATTTTGTATATAACTCGAATACGTATTATTCGATTTTGATTATTTTTGGGGTGTGGACTTTTGCTTTCAATCTACAAATTTTGGTGTTATACAGAGCGGTTTTTAAAACTTACAACTCCTACAAAGTTGATGTATGGTGATAATATCCGTTCATAACTTTTTCCTCGTTCGGGCAATAATGACAACTATTTTTTATTTGATAGGTGATAACATTTGGAAGTTTTTGGGCCTCTTACAAGAATATTGATTAAATGGGCGGTTTGGGTACAAAAAATATTTTTCTCTAAATACTGCGATTTTAGTGAAGTTTTCTAACACATAATATTAAATAATTACTCTCTAAGTCTGTAAGTAAATATATTAAGTTTTATTAAATTTTTAGGTGGAAATAATGGAATGGGGCAAGCTCAGAGTCAAAGTATTCCGGTTGGTTGTGATGGTTGTTTCGACCAAGGATTAGGTCAATCTGGCTTGCCTGACCAAGAACAAGTTATAGAATTTGGTTTTGTACCAGGAGGCCCTGGAAGACTTCAACAAACAGGTCCGGGAGGACGTGGACAAGGAACATTTGGAGGTAACGGACAAATAGGTCCTGGAGGCCCTGATCAAGTAGGCCCTGGAGGTCCTGGGCAAGTAGGCCCTGGAGGTCCGGGACAAGTAGCCCCTGGAGGCCCTGGTCAAGTAGGACCTGGAGGTTCAGGACAAGTAGGCCTTGGTGGCCCTGGACAAGTAGCCCCTGGAGGCCCTGGTCAAGTAGTCTCTGGAGGTCCAGGACAAGTAGGCCCTGGTGGCCCTGGACAATTAGGCCCTGGTGGCCCTGGACAATTAGGCCCTGGTGGCCCTGGACAATTAGGCCCTGGTGGCCCTGGACAAGTAGGCCCTGGAGGGCCTGGACAAGTAGGCCCTGGAGGTCCTGGATACGTAAGTACTGGACAAGTAGGCCCTGGAGGACCTGGACAAGTAGGACCTGGAGGTCCCGGACAAGTAGGCCCTGGAAGTCCTGGTCAAATAGGCCCTGGAGGATCTGGACAAATAAGACCTGGAGGGCCTGGACAGATAGGTCCTGGAGGTCCTGGACAAATTGGCCCTGGAGGTACCGGACAAGTAGGACTTGGAGGACCTGGACAAATCGGTCCTGGACAAGTTGGTCCTGGACAAGTAAGTCCTGGAGGACCTGGACAGGTAGGCCCTGGAGGTCCTGGATACGTAGGCCCTGTGCAAGTAGGCCCTGGAGGCCCTGTGCAAGTAGGCCCTGGAGGACCTGGACAAATAGGCCCTGGAGGTCCCGGACAAGTAGGCCCTGGAGGTCCCGGCCAAGTAAGCCCTGGAGGTCCTGGACAAATAGGCCCTGGAGGTTACGGACAAGTAGGCCCTGGAGGCCCTGGACAAATAGGCCCCGGGCAAATAGGGCCTGGACAAGTGGGCCGTGGACAAGTGGGTCCTGGACAAGTAGGCCCTGGGGGTCCAGGACAAACAGGACCCGGACAAGTAGGCCCTGGAAGACCTGGACAAGTAGACTCTGGTGGCGTATTTAATGGTGGACTAGCTGGTAGTTATCAAAGTAACCTTGGTCAAGCTGGACGTTTTTCGGGACAATTTTCTGGTCAGTATCAAACTGACAATTATTCTAATGGTTACACTGGACAAGTACTCCCTACAACTTCATATCAAGGCGAAACAGGTCAATATGGAACAGGAAGCGGGAGAGGGCGTTTTTCTGGTCAATTCTCGGGTCAGTATGGCCCAGATGGAACCCTTCAGTATGGACAAGACGGGACAGGTCAGTACGGAGCAGGTGGCACCAGCCAATACAGACCAGGAGGAACAAGTCAGTACGGACCAGGAGGAGGCACTCACTATGGACCAGGTGGAACAAGTCAATACGGACCGGGCACTACTGGGCAGTACGGAGCAGGAGGGACCACTCAACACAGGCCTGGTGAAACGGGTCAAACTGATCAGTATGGGCCAAGACAAAATGGTCAACATGGATCAGGAGGAACAGTTCAATATGGACCGAGTGGCTCTAGTGGAACTGGGCAATATGGACCTGGTGGAACTAGTCAGACCGGACCTGGTAGGACTAGTCAAACCGGACCTGGTGGAACTAGCCAAACTGGACCTGGTGGAACTAGTCAAACTGGACCTAGTGGAGCCGGTCAATATGGACTAGGTGGAAACGGCCAATATGGATCCGGAGGAACCGGTCAATACGGACCAGGGGGAACTGGTCCATACGGGTCAGGGGGAACCGGTCAATATGGACCAGGGGGAACCGGTCAATATGGACCAGGAGGAACGGGTGAAAATGGACCAAGCAGAACCGATCAATATGGACCAGGTCAATACGGGTCAGGGGGAACCAGTCAATACGGGCCAGGGGGAACCAGTCAATACGGGCCAGGGGGAACCAGTCAATACGGGCCAGGGGGAACCAGTCAGTTAGGGCCAGGGGGAACCAGTCAATACGAACCAGGAAGAACGGGTCAATATGGACCAAACGGAAATGGTCAGTATGGATCCGGAGGTACCGATCAATATGGGCCCGCAGGGACAGGACAATATGGATCCGGAGGAACGGGCCAACAGGGGCCCGAGGCAACCGGTCAGTATGGGCCCGGAGGAGGTCAATACGGACCAGGAGGAACAAGCCAATACGGAACTGGTCAATATGGACCTAATGGAACCGGTCAGTACGGACTCGGCGGAACTGATCAAAACGTACCAAGTCAGTACAGTAGATATCCTAGTACTGCAGGTCAGCAAGAGGCCGACGATTCAGACTCTCAAGTGCAGACATCCGTTCAACAGATAGAAAATGGCACACATGCCCAAGCCGAGGCACAGGGTACACATGGTGGAGGTACAGCCCAGTCTCAGGTGTCAGGAACGTATTCGGGATCGGGTTCATTCAGTGCTTCCGCGGGTTCTGACGACGGTAAGAGAGGGGCTCAAACCCAAGTTGCAGGTGGAAAGGATGGAGCTCAAAGTTCTGCGCAAGGACGGGGAGGTTTGGGACAGTCACAAGCACAAGTTGTATTATCTTCAGAGACAGGAAACACATTATCAAGTGCGCAAAGTAGTGGTTTTAGCCACGGTACTCAGTCTCACGTTCAAGCTTCTGAAAAGGGGGGTATGGCGGATGCACAAGCAAACGCTCCAGGTAGTACTTCGTCACAGGCACAGATTGGCTTTTCTCCTTACGATGAAAATGAAGAAGATAATCAAACTACTGCATTCAGAGGAGGTGGAACTGCAGGTGCACAAAGTGGATCATCCTCTGGAATGACTCAGACTCAAATTCAAGGTAAATTTCGATATGGAATAAAATATAGTGGTGCTGCTCAGGCCGGATCCGGTGCAGCAGGTGTAGGAGGAAATCAAACTTTTAGGCCTGGACCTTTTAAACCAGTTCAATTACCATCATTTTCAACAATAAATGAACAATCACAAACTATTTCTCAGAAAAAAAACAATCCTCAACCTCAAACACAAAATAAAGATATAAGCGACACTACTATAAATCCTATAGAAAATAGTGAAAACAATTCTGAAGAATACAGTCAAGAAAACTATATGGACAATAAGGACTACAATGAGGATGAATATCCTGAAAACACAGAAAGACCCTTAACAAAAAGCATTATAACCCAATCAACCGAAAATCAAAGACAGCATATCGTACTGGACCCATTAGAAAATATAGATATAAGTGTCTACCAAAGCAAAGGAAATTATCCATCAGAAGGCCAAACATTGCAGCCAGGAGACACTATTCCTGGGTCTCCCGGTTATAAAATACCCCTTGGATTTAGAGGAACTGTTAAATCTATATCAAATGGGCGTAACACTTACGCAATTGGAAAACATTCACAGGCACAGAGTGTTACAATATCTCCTGGAACCGGAAGAATTATATATAAAAAACCAGTTTATGCGGTTGCATCAAAAACACATTTTCGGAATGGTAAATACGGATACGGTTCCGGATATACATATCAACCAGCCTACCAACCAGTCCAATATCTTCTGAAAAACGGCAAGACGCTTCCGAACTTTATGTCCGTGACAAAATCCGAAACAGGTTCAAGAAATATTTATACCGGTAGAAAAACTCCAAACATTTACTACTCGCAATCGTCGACCTGTGGTGTGTTCACAAATCATTGTATATTTAACGGTAGCAAAAAAGTATGTACCCCGAAACTTAAAACTAATCCAGATGGTACGCTGATGACGTGCTAGAACTGTATTATATGTGTAAATTTAAGTTAGTTATATTTTTTTTATAAAACAAATGCATTTTATAAAGACTAGATACAATAAATTATTAAATATATTCTGTCAATAAAAACAATATTGAAAATAAATTGTTAATAAAATAAAATGTATGAATGCTTAGGATAAATTGAAAGTATACTTTTTATAGTTGTCACGGAAATTATTATTTGACAACCTTTGTGTTAGTACTTTTGGAGTTTTTTTAAACACAATTTTAAATATCTTGATATTTCTGAAAAAAAAAACATTAAGGCTGTTTTAAATTACATATTATATCAAATAGAATCAATGGCCATATTTATGCAGTCTGTACTGCATATACAGGGCAGTTCAAGTCAATATCATAAAAAAAATTTTTTAAACTCGGTTCCAAAAAAAAATTATTGAAGTTGTAATATTTTCAACCCTTACATTGCTGGACTACTGTAGTCTCTAGCGTCATTCACGTTGTGCGCTGTGCGCTCTCTCTCCACTTGGCCCCAGACGATTCCGAAGACTGGAATCCGATTGTAGTATTCATGTTTTCGCGATAGTGTTTACATTAGTTTTTCAAATGTCCAAAAGATTCAATTTTTGGTGAAGCAAAACATTTGTGTTATGGTGAAGCATTTGTATTCTGGTCAAGCATGACAACATTTGTGTTGGTTTGTAGAAACTGAGAAAGACGGGCCCAAATGTGCTTACACGTCGGTGGACAAAATTTCAAACAGTTGTAACATCAGGTAAGTACCTATGTCAAATTATTTTATTAATTGGAACCACAAATTAATTTTATTAATATAATAATAACAATAACGGCAAAAGCAGTTAAATTTGCTGATATAAAATAGGTGTTATAAAATTTTATTTATTTCTTTCCTTGGGAAAAAATTTCTTTCAATTTTTTGTCGTTAATTTTTTATTACACTTTGCCGCCGTGCCGGTCGCCGGCTGCGTGCTTTGGCTTGCGCAAGATCAGTTTCCAGTGCCGTGCAGAACTGTGTTTTTAAATCATTTTCGAACTGCTGTTCATACAAAAAAAAATTTTTTTGGAAATGTTCTGAATCAGCCTATATAAAGTTTTCTTTTACTTTTGCACTTTTAAAGGTTAAAAATTAAATGAGTCATTGTAAATATTTCCATATCGATGTTGGATCATTAATTTCATAAATCATTTTAAAATAGATTTTACGTATAATGGGAAATGAATAACAATATTAAAAAATAAATTATATTATATTTATAACTATAAATATTTTGTACAAATAGAAAAATAGAATAAATAAAATGAACACAGTTAGAAGGTTAAACGTTTAGTACTTATATATACTAATTACAGAACTTCATTTACATCATCATCACTACCATCTTGTAACAATGTTCCACGGTGAGAAAGCAAACTTGAAGAGCTACAGTTACGTAATCTGAAAACAAAATATTTATCGTGAAAATTACAATGTAAAATCCAGCAAAATTTGATCGCATTCTAATTGCAACAATTTACAATTATAACAAAACACTTTTTTTCAACTTGTATTCCACACAATTTTTTTGCATATTCAACAAAAAAAAAACAAGCAAAATTTAAGAAAAGAAGATTAAAAGTCGAAAGATCACAGACACAACATTTAGACACAATATGACCTTATAATGCTGGATACTCCTCTAAGATTTCTAATACAGTATACAGATTTTTCTGGGGGGCGGGGGAGGGGGATGGGATTTTTGGAAAAATACTTTAAGACCTTTTTTATCAAATATAATCTGACTATGTATCCAAATCATTTGAAATCCATGTGCCTGTCACAAAGTTCATTAATTTATAACAAAAAATGGTTTTTTTATAAAATTCTATTTAACTTTAAATTTTGTCATTGGTACACACTAATGGATATCAACAAAAGAAAAAGAAGAGTACTGTTATATAATATGTAAAAATGTTTAAACTAAACGCTCTCGGCTAACCAAGCCATCATCAGTGATAATTGTCAATCTAATAACCTCTCTACAAGAGAAACCATGCAGTAATTTGGCGCGCACACGACTCATTTAAATTTTGTAAAAAGATTTAATTGTAAGGTTAAAATTGAAAATACCCTAACATAAAAACGATAAGAAAAAAAAGGTAAGATAAGAAAGAAAGATAAGAAAAAAATTACTAACATTGCTGACTTTAATTCAAATGTTTGTTTTACTATAAAAATCTAAAAAGCATTAAAAATTAACCAAAATTGTGAAAATAACTTATAGGCTGACTCTATTATTTACCAGTAATTGACTCACTTTTCATCTTCTGCCATTTCCAATGCTTACTAGATGCATTGAAGTGGAAACTGAATCAATTTAAAGTTTTGAATCTGAATAAAAACATACTGTGTACTGATTTATACACAGTCAGATTTTAAATAAAAAATCAATAGTGATTTTCTAAAAAATTACTTCTAAAAACACAGAAGGTGATGGATTATGAGCAAGATCATTGTAATTGGTTCAGCAACAACATTTAGGACGATATACAAAAAAAATGCTTTTAATCCTGGGTCTCACAAAAAAATAGAGGAATATCCTGGTACATAATACCGGGTGTTTTTTTAATACTGTGAAAAACTTTAAAGAGATATTCCTTGACAAAGAATCACAGATTCTTCAATATGAACGTTTTTCTAAAAAACGTTTGCTGTCGGGATACACCATATAAATGAATCACTTAAAATTCAGTTTTTATTTCTCACAGTTGAAGAAATACAGAAAAATGCACTTTGAGATGTTACTTAAATAGAATAAAATAAATATTGAATATTGATATAAGCCTTTTAAAGGGATGTAACATTGACAGCTGACATTTTTGAAATGGAGTTTATACCGGGTGTTTCAGAATTGAAGTGACAAAAGCCTAAGGGAGATTCCGCTCAGCAAAACGTGTAAAGAAGTTCATATAAACATGGATCAGCAAGTGCTTTGTTTCCGAGATATATAGTGATTCACTTTTTATGATTAGGACTTTAACCATCGATAGATCATCTCACCAAAATAAAGTCATTTTGAAGTATACACTTTTTCTTCCAAAGGCTTCCTTTTAGAGATATAAGCTTTTGAAAAATATATTTTTTTTTGGTTTTTATTTAATTTTTCTTAAACTATTTGTTTTATATTTAGTATGAAGTGTACAAATGAAAAGCTCTATGGATTTTATAAATTATTGTGAAAACAGATCAATCATAGGCGTCGGTAAGGGGCTCTGATCACCCTTATTTTTGATATAACTTCTACACCACTGGAAAATTTTCAAAATTAATGAATTTTTTTACATTGCGGTTTATTCTACGACAAAAAGGTCTCTTACTATTTTTAATTTAAATGCTTGGTTTTTGAGAAAAATGACTTTTTATGGATTCATTACAATTAGGTAAACAGGGTAATGATTGAAGTATGTACAACACTATTTAAGTTTATGATTAAGTAGGGGTCCTGAATATAACAGTTATGTGTTAATAACATTTTAAAGTGGCATCTAAAGCAATCTTCTTTATTTTATTACTTAAAGAAACTGTTGCAGGTGGCACAGATTTTTTGAAAAAAAAATCATGCTCCTTGAAAGTGATTCTTAGAATAACAATTGTTTATACGTATTTTGACATATTTCTTCAGTCACTGGTTTTACGCTGCATTATTAAACCGGAATGTAAAAAAAATATATTTATTTTGAAAAATTTCCAGTGGCGTAGAAATTATATTAAAAATAGGAGTTATCAGAGCCCCTTTGGAAAAAAAATTTTTTTTCAAGATCTTATATCTTTAAAAGGAAGCCTTTGGAACAAAATAACATTATTTTACGATATCTATCGATAGTTAAAGTCCTAATCATAAAAAATGAATCACCCTGTAGTATTTTAATTTTTTTTAAATTGAATGATTTAAAAAAATGCTTTAGCCGGTTTAACTGAATTTTTTACGGTTTATTAAAACACTTGACATACACCAATTGGACCAATTAGATTTGATCCAGAATTTTTAGGAGCTTCCTAGTGAGCAAGTCGTTTTTTTTTGTAGGTTCTGGAAAACAAAGCGAGACACTAAAAAGAGTCGAGAGACACAAATGTTTTACATTTAGTAGGTTTATCTGAATATTACATAAAAACTGCAAAAAAGCTACAGGGTGATATTCTTTTCGACAAAAAAAAAAAAACGACTTTCTCGCTGGGTATGCCCTGAAAATTCTGGACCAGTTTTTTAGTTGGTTCAGTTGATGTATGATAATTGTTTTAATAAACCGTAAAAATTTCATTCAAATAGGTCAGAGCTTTTTAAAAAATTTAATTAAAAAAAAATTAACACCCCATATCTCGGAAACAAAGCACTTGCGGGCCCATGTTCATATAAACTTTTTTACACATTTTGCTCCGCTAGGCTTTTGCCACTTCAACTCTGAAACACCCTGTATAGAACACCCTTTCTTTTTCACAAGAAGTCACTACACAAACTTTTTTGCAATATTAAAGAAACACCCTACATATCTATTAAATTAATATCTCAATCATTCATATTTATTTTTTTTTACGTTTACTGTATTTCTTTTTTACTTTTTTCTTATTAATAGGAATTTAATTTTTTTTTTGTTACAATTTTTTTATTACCTGAAAAAATATATAAGTATAACTAATAACAACAATAACAACAATAGCAACAGTCTCACAACTATTTTTTTTTACTGAAGTGCATGCCAGTCAAATAGAAGACACTATCAATAACACTATTACCAAACCTTATAACACACACTTAAACTAAAATATTGCTAAGTAAACAAACAACTAACATAAATAATTATAACATAACTTACCTTAACAACTATAAAAGCTGGTAGTTACGTTCAAGAGCACAACAAGCATGTTATTAGAAAGCAGCAAAACAAAGCAACAGCTCGATATCGTGGAATTAGTGCAAACAGGAAGCAACGGATTACAATCACTATTTACAGTCAATGATTTAAACATTACAAATTACTTACACAATCGTTTTCATCGTAATGTGCCATTTCCTCGCCGCCATCCTCCTTCTCCATACTATGGAGGAGAAAATAGCCAAGAAGATAGAAAGTTATTAGATAATATATAAAATACATTGAAGATGATCAATATTTATTTTAGAAAGATCCGGGGAATGTATTTCAATAAATACGGCTCCATACTGAGGTTATGCGCATATTTTATATAATCTTAGGGAATTACGGTTATATTTATATTAGCTTTGAAAATATTTTGCAATAACTTTCCTCCATAGTTTGTTATCTATATAAAGTGTTGCATTCACAAAATTGTGCAAGTGGTTCTCTAACTAAAGATTATAAGAAAAGTTCATATGAAACATAAGCAAGGTCTTCTTTTAAGCTATTGACTATATAAAAAAAAAGAGGGTATAAAGGAACTACAACGTAACAGAAATTTTATTATTTGATTTGTTCAATTGACTCTAAAAAAATGATAAAACCGCGGAGTGATACCTTTTAAAGGGGTGCGTTTTTGAGAACGAAGTAAAAGGTGGTATTTTAAGTTTTTTGAGTTTTACTCGAAAACTATGAATTTTTTCTAAATAGTTGTCAACAGAAAAGTTGTATCAAATTGAATTTCCAATCGAAATGAGACCTTTTAAAGTCAAAAAAATTTATTTTTAACAAAAATATGCCCAAAAAACGAGTAAAAAAAACGAAAAAATGCGTTTTTTTTCTTTTTGGTTTTTGGCTCACAACTTTTTTCTGAGAGGAGTTAGGTATAGACATTGCTTCACAGAAAAAAAGTTAATGTTTTTTCCTTTAAAATAAGCCTTTATGCTTAGTCATAGCCTTTTAAGCTATGACTAACAGAAACCGAGATACAATGGATCAAAGTTGGCTACTTTTTGGATTTTTGGCCAATTTTTGCGCTCTTTTGACGATTTTCGTCTTATAACTTTTTTCTGAGTTAATTTAGGTATAGGTAATGCCATATTCAAATGAAAGCTGGTTTCATAACCTTTAAAATGGTGCCTGGTAGAAGTTTGTACAATTAAAATCAACCGAGATATGTCAATTGAGTCCTCTAGTATCAAAACCCCTTAAATCCGTTTTTGATGAAAAATGAGATATATGCATCAAAATATTCCTACTAAAATTCCCTATTGATGTGTTCATTCCAATGATTGCAAAAGTCACCTAATATGTATAAAAATGTACTCTAAAAAGTGCGTTTAGATTCAAACGCCACGAAATCCATTTGAACTAACGTTCACATCCCACTAAATCCACAATAGCCAATCATAGAAGGCTAACGTGACAACAAGTGGTCGGCGGCGCTGTACAAATTTAATTTATACAGTATTAGACCAGTCATTGTTGTACTAGTATTATTGTTTTTAGTTTAGTCTTGTATTCGTTAACAGTGCCAATAAAATA